TTTTTAAGAAGACAGCAAAGGCTGGTGCTAGAGTATGGTTTCCCATAATCAAAATGAATTTATTCTGACTATTTTCTTTATTAAAATTTGGAACTTTATTTTGTGCAGTCAGGAATAATTTGTCCCTATGATGACTGTAAGCTGGTGTAGTGTCGTGTATGTGTTGTGGAGGAGGTACGGACCTCCGATTGTTAATAGAAGACTTGTTATATGTCACAAGTGACTGTGGAAAGAACTGAACATCATTGCTTGTTTGTTAAAATTTGGTTGGGGGTGTTAAATATTATAACCTCGTTTTGGAGCGTGCTTTTGATTCTGAGTTCTCTAAAATGCTGTCCTAGAATGATTGGTTTATGACAGCACAGGGTCATTCCAGTTTTTGTAACCCCCCCCCCCCCCCACGGATGGATAATATTAGGTTATGACACCCTATGGATTCAAATCCACCATTCAGGTGTCGGATTTTTGTTAACTAACACCCCCCCCCCCAAAAAAAAAAAACATTACTGATTTGACGTATACGGATGGGTATGTGAAAAAAATTAAATATATCAAAAATATGACACTTCTTGGAATTAAACCATCCATACTTTTTGTCGAAATATGACCCCTCCGGTTTAAACCATCTGTAGGGGTGTGTGGATAAAAGCTGGAATTACCCACAGTTTAGCAGTTGACACAATATTTTGAGGACCAAAATGATGATATTTGTGCACAAATTATATCGCTCTTAGTTGCCTGAGAGTGATCAGATCCTAATACATTATATGACTGCAAGAACCAGCATGCATGTTTTGGTGGAGTGCACGAGGCTCTTACTTCTAGTTTTAATTTGGGTAACCCATTTGAAATTAGGGGTGGCTGGAGGCAATTGGTAATCTGTGCACCAGGGGCACTGTAAACCGTTTAATTTACACGGCTAGAAGTCTTCGTGATAGTCAAGTTTCTTGGAAGACAGCAGTGAAATTTTCACTGCTATAAAACTTCCTGATCTTCACTGACTCACGAAAACTTGTTTCTTGCAAAGTGGTTTATCAGCCTCTTATAAAAAAGTAATTTCAATGCTGTCATTCAGCATTAAATCATGTTTTACATTGCAGGAGAATCCTGACACTGATGAGATCCCGGAAATACAGAGAACAAACCAAAAAAGTCCTGCTAGAAGGCAGAAGACTTATAATCGATGCCATTCTGGCTGGTGCTGAATGCCATACCATATACTTCAGCCGAGTTGAAAGTCTGGAAGGAATACCTTGGTACGAAACAGATGCTGAGCTTCTTAGGATTCCATACAAGGAGGTCAAACTATGGTCAGATGTAGTAACACCGCAGGGGATTATGGGTATGTATCTTATCTGGCACAAGACCACTATTAAAATTATTGTGGATAACAGTGTTAATTTTGTGACTGGTATCACTAATTCCAAATTTATTCAGCCAAATAACTGTCAGTTACAACATTAGCATGATGTCAGTCAGCACTGTCAGCAGTAGCCCAGAGACTCTGCTGTGATAATTTGCATAGCTGCCCGTAATCATCACCCAGTGAAACGAGCTGGATCTAGCACAGAAATTGGTCCGAATATGCAAATGGTGAATACGGGTGGCATGAAGCTAATTGAACAACTGATACAAACAACATTACGTCAAAGCATCCCCACGTGATCCTGGTTTCAATTTCGATAAGAGACAGAAAAGGGAGGGAGGAGTCTGAACGTAAATATAATTTACATAATCGCATAGGTACAAGGTCAAATCCAGGAATTATCACACACTGCCAGGTCAAACAAAATGGCAGGTATCGTAAGGTAATCGTCTTGTATGTACAGCTTGAAAAACTTGCATAGCAGCGATCATGATTTTCCCTGTGTAATGTTGATGTCTCTCACGTTATCATGCGTGAAATTCACGCTTTCCCCTAGTTGTTACACTAATCAGACTTATGAATAATAATGAGTGAGTGTGGTTAAAAATAATAGCCAACCACAGGCCCCTGTCAAAATTTGATAGATCGCCCTGTCTTATCTCGTTACTGAGCGACGGCGGCTGCTGCCACGACCACATTCTGCTGATTTGAATAATCCAATTTGAATTTTCAGGCGCGTTTCATTGGGCGTTAGTTAGAATATAAACCAACGGCCAGACTCTGGGCTATGTCAGCAATGAATTTTGCACACAAGCTCAAAGAACAGTTTAGGCCTAAAAAACCTCAAAAATTGCTAGCCAATTTTTTTCCACTCATTTAGCCACTGCATGGCACCCTCTGTTGGTGAGTTGATTGAAAACATTTTTTTTTTCAAAAAGCTTCTTCAATTTTGTTCTATACAAACCCAATACTTATCTTGAGTGTCAAACAAAATTACAATATTTCTGATATTAGAATGAATTTGTGGAAAATGAGTAAATAAACAATGTTTTTGTGAACAAAATGAATTTCAGCACACATATAGTGACTATTTGTACCATTAATTATGAATTAAATATGGAACTGTGAGGAGATTGTTATTGTCATAATATAATGTAAATATATGTTAGATGTTTAATCCAGGGTGATATGGTCTTTTTTCATTGCATTTGTTATAATGTTCAAACTCCCAATAGAGCATAACACAAACACCATATACATTTGTACCTGGAATACGCATGTGCATATCACTTTATGCAGACGCTACATGGATGTGAAACAAATGTACATTTGTTTACAATATGACATATAATGAGGCATTGTGATTTATTCAACAGCTGTGTTTTCCCAGCCAAGATTTGAAGATCTACCAATGATGTCTGAAGAGCAGAGTATACCGCTAACTGTCATCTGTGATAATATAAGAGAGCCTGGTAATTTGGGTGCATTGCTACGCTCTGCCGTGGCAGCCGGTTCTCAACAAATACTTGTTACAAAAGGTATGGATACACATATAGTATGCATAGTTAGCTGTGGTACATGTAATACACTAGTCATTACCGTATTACCCCGGTCACGCGCCCAGGGGCCTGAACATACAAAATCGAAAAAAATTGGGGGTGGGCGCTTACCCGAGGACCACCCCAAATAAGAATCGTATAAGGTCAAATAAAGGAATGCTTTCGTACACTTTGTACACGTATTGATTTCTTGATTTATGCGAGGTTTCAATAAACGTGAGCACTCGGTCAAGAACTGTAGGAACACTAAGACACGGGGTATAATTTCAAGAATAAAACTTGTTTTATGTCAGTAAATTTAGTAACCGTGATCAGTGCAAGTCGAAACGGCCAGGAAAAACTACCGCTTGTAATCCAAGATGGCGATGACCTCATTAGCATAATTTTGTTCACGCACGTATTGATACATCGCATCGTAATTACTGAAGAATAGCAGACAGGTTTATGAAACAAATAAACCTTTTATTACTGATGTGAAATGATTACAAACTATTGTGAATACATAAACATATCCAAATGGCGATACATAAAAAACAGACTGAAAATGAACTCGGGTCGACCTCATTAACATGATTTATTCACGCACTCACACACATGACAAAATTACAAAAATAACGATGATCTATCGTCGGCATGCCTCATTGTGGTTATCGTAATGGACTTGAGGTCGGCAAAATGTTTTTTCTTCAACGACAGAAAAATAATCCACATGACTGTAATGCCATAGCTGTGATGAAGGATGGAAAGAAAGTTTACGACGTGATGTCTCAAAAGTACTAGCTCCTGTTATGGATTCACAGGCAGCGAAATGCTATGTTTTGAAACCAAAGCTATGTGCTTCAAACCACTCACCAAGGTATGGATTATTGCAATATTGGATTCATTGTGAATGAAGAGAAAGCAGAACGTGTGCGCCACATGCTGCGTGGTTCATCTTACATCGTTAATTTTCAATGAGTTTTTATGTAAAAACACAAACAAAACAGCCCTTTTCTGGGCCACCACACACTCCAAAAAAGAGAACTACCGTAACAAACACACTATTTAAATAAATCAAACGCGTTCGTTTTTGACAAATAAAACTTTATTGTTGACCCCGTTCTTGGCTAAAAATCACCCTGGGCGTTTAACCGAGGATGTCCCCAACATGTAACTTTTGTGAAAACAGGGGGGTGGGCGCTTGCCCAGGGAGGGGCGCGTGCCCGGGGTAATACAGTAGTATAGTATACTGTAAAATACTTTATTTTCGCTTGGAATTTATTTTTGCTATTTTCGCTGAAGGAATGATTCAGTGAAAATAATATCCAGCGAATATACCTTTTTTCTATATTTTACATTCAACTTGTCAAAAATCAGTGAAAATAAATTCCATACAAAACACCCAAAATGTCTTTTCAGCAAAAATTAATTCCAGCTAAAATAAAGTATTATTTAGTATTCTAGGAATTTGCAGTACGTCTACAGTTTATTTTTATCATTCAAACCATGCTTACTGTGATACTGTATTTGCTCTATTACAAGCGCATCTTCGCTGTTAGCAATGCACATTTCAAATAAAGATATCATCACAAAATGGACAAATATGAGAGAGATCCACCTGTAGTATCTATATGTATATTATCTAGGCAATTGGACTTGCGGTTTTCAACAAGAAATCGAAAATATCACTTTTTACCAAAAATGACAAAAAATAATCATCAAAATTAGATATCATCATGAAATAAACAAATCTGAGAGAGGTCTACCTGTATTACCTACATGTATACTATCAAAGCAACAGACTTGCGGTTTTCAAAAAGAAGTCGAACATATAACTTTTTATTAAAAAAGACAAAAATAATCATCAAAATTAGAGAATTGAAGATATCATCACAAAATGAACAAATCTGATAGATATAGAATTCTGATCATAAACATCTGCACAGTGCTATACATTTTTGTTTGTTTTTTGGCTCTCATTAAATCATCACTCAAAAGAAAATGTATAAAAATAAGGTTATCATGAGCAATGCCGCAAAATATATATTCAGGCAGTACTGGATCACTTTGACTTCTGCCATGGCTGGTTGATATTAACCTTTATGGACTAGATACAGCTTTTGCGGCCGGAGGTTGTGAGGCGGAAGCGTCCAAGCTTGTAAGGGTGTGTTAGCCGTACAACTGAGGGCCACAAAAACAATATCCAGTCCACAAAGGTTTTATCATGTGCCTTACTATTTCACCACGGCATGACCTTAAACACACAAAGTAATTTAGAATGACTAGTTTGTTTTGATTGATGAAAACCGGGCGTGCTGGGTGGGGTGTGATACAGGAATTTATTGCTCTGATGTGAGGCTGCAGTTCCTATAGTGTTACAAAGCCAGGCAATGCAAGGTGTATGATAAGATTATCATATGACCACCCCTTTTGTGTGAAATCTGTGAAGTAAAAATATTCAAAGTATAAGAAATTAATGTCTCAATAATGTAGTTTTCAAACAATTACATGTCTTTAAAAAATTTATTTTACATGCAAAAATATTCCATGTGGGAAATGCTTGTACTAAAGGAATAAATGTAACTTTTAGAAGCTGGTTTGACTAACATAATAATGTCAACAGACATGGCATTTCACACTACCAAACATATCCTGGAATGTGACCTCTGATAATGTCATGTGTATCCACATCACTGTTACAACATTAAGATACCTTAATACAAGTTGAATGCAATATATGTTAAATACATTTTTTTTTTATACAAAATATTAAAACATTCTGACGTTATTACTTTACACAAACCATATGTCTCTTTGTAGGATGTGTGGATATATGGGACCTCAAAGTACTACGTGCAGGAGCTGGCGCACATTTCAGAACACAGATTCACAACAATCTTCCATGGGACAGTGTCAAGAATTATCTAGATGATGACGTGGTTGTACATGTTGCTGATTGTAGAACCGCTGATGCCTTTGAAAGGGTAGAAGAAGATGATTGTGAGACTGAGTCTGTAGTTGATCCCAGAACTCTTGATTTAAACGATGTCAGGACTATGAATTTGCTCAGTAAGTTACCAAATGAGGATTTGATGAATGACATGGACGTAGACAAGAAATTAAACTGTGTACCGACTAAAGATTTTTATAACATTGACTGGACTGTGAAATCAGCTATTGTCATTGGAGGCGAGACGCACGGATTGAGTAAACAAGCAGTTGATTTGGCAGATGAAACTTATGGATACAAAGTTCATATTCCAATGGCATTTGGAATGGACAGCTTGAATGCTGCCATGGCAACGAGTGTTGTCACTTTTGAGGCAAAGCGTCAATATTTGAATTGTAAAGAAAATAATAAGAATACTTAAGTTATGTACACAAAACTTTGTGACTTTAAAAGATTGCTTGTGTGATATAAAGTTGTGTATATGTGAAACCTCATCTTCTCTGCACACATAAATTTGTTCCACATGTCCAGTAGTAATTTGTCATGGATTATTGAAGCAGCCATGTTTTGATTCAACTTCAAAATTAACAATTATGTTACCAATGCATCTGGCAAATCGTAAATATATTTCTTAATCACAATAGGGTAACAAACTCATAATTGGCATTCATGCACTATCAATCTATCCTCCAGATGCCCAGTGGCACATACTAGTCGTACCTCATTAGATATTTTATGCAAATGAGCTAGAACAGCCTTTAGAAGCTGTGAAGTGCATACTACGTTCACGTTACGGGATCTCTGCACATGCCGAAATTTTTAATCCGTTGCGTTTGCAGAGGGATTACAGCAGTTGCGTTCACGTTATTCGGGACCTACTTAGGACTGACTTAAGGCTCGTGCCGAAATCACGCCCTCATTCGTCAATCTGTTGGCCCAAACATAGAAAACGATACGTATATGATGATAATAATAATTGTTATAGTGCTTATTACCATCCATCGTGCACATGAACGGCAAAGGAGATTCGAAACACAATTATTTTTTTCACATCAATTTAGTATTGCAAGAAAATAGCGATTGCAGCAGCACATAAATATGCGTTGCTGACGATGGTTTGCATTCATTCCATTCATTACTGCTGCATGTGACCATATACTAGTATATCTAAATTTCCTACATACTACTATGAATCAGCTTATGTTTTCTTGTTTTTACCACCGAGGGCGTGATTTCAGCTCGTGTCGAGCGTTCAGGCAGCAAATCTCGGCATGTGCTGAGTTTCGGTCCCAAGAATCTATCGGGGCCGAGATCAAGTTCTTTTTGGTTTGTGCCGACTCAATCCTGACTGTTCACACACAAGTTTCGGCACGTGCCAAGATCTCTCCACTATACATAGATACATAGGATAAACAGGAAATCAAATACGTGATCCTACAATATTCCGTTTTTTTTTAGAGCTATTGTAGTACATTTCCCAGGGCGATTTTTCGGCAGTTTTTTAAGGTGTTTTTTTAATATTTTAACAATATTCTTTGCACATTTCAATCTTTCCTGACACTAACAATTTTGAAGCCCAAATAAGGGCCCACCAGCCATGAAATCGCCCAGGGCGACTTTTTGGATGGGCCAAATTAAGGCAGATTTCTCAGTCTGTTACTTTTGGTGTTGGTCCTGTGATAAATGGCTCATCACCTGATATCACTCATTGGTAGAAGAGTTGATATGAGCAATGTAATGGGCTAGTATTATCCATCAACTAAAGGGAGGCAAATAATGCAGACTGTGATATTACCGTACCTTATAATATTGGTAACATCTATGCTGAATTCTGTTTGTGGAAATATTTAGCATATATAATAATTGTTAACTGAGTTGAAAACATAGGGTGGGTAGATGTTACAGCGGAGCTCTTTCGGTCGCTTGTTTGTGTGACAAACAAATATTCCCGTTTCTATATTGATGCAAGTGTAGCTTGTTCGTAATAGACCAAGAGAGTTGTAATTTTAATATTGTGCACTGATAAATTACGGCTGGGAGGTTTTCTTTTTTCGCAAATTGTGTGTTGTCACAGTGTAGGTGTGTTACACAACTCCTTTTGTATAGAAGGACCCTAGGCCAATGACATAGAAATTGGACCCGATTCACATATAGTAAACTATATGTACATGTTGATTTCAGCCATAAACCACCTGCTTAGTTCATTCACACAGCTCATCATACTGAAAATACACATGTACTGATGAAAATGACCTAGTTCTGGAACAAAAACTAGTAAAACAGGCACTGTGTTGATTATGTTGCTGATTTTGGATGCTGTCTGAATTCTTGTACACAACATTAGTTGATTGTGGTAAAGTCATAATTGAAAATCTGATGATTTTTGCTTCATAATACCTCTTGATTACATAACCGTTGACAGAGTTTGTTTTTTATTCAGAAGCCAAAATCGGGGCTCACAACTACTGTCTTTTTCTTCCCAATGATCACTAAAGTCTGGTATTTTAAATTAAATTGCCTTGATTGATGTGCATGATGTTGTCATGCCAACAAAAATACTAGGATGCGTGATCTTTCAGGGTTCCCAAGTAGGGCCTATTGCTGCAAGGCCCAAACTATTATCCCTGATTATCTAATGAGCTAATTACCGGTACTTTTGTTTCAGTGTTTGCTGGCCTGTGGTTAACTGGCAGATAAATGAAAAACACCATTTTGTACGTATATGGGCTGAAGATAGTTGTTAAACATTGATTGGCGCAGACCTTTGAGATTTAAAAAAAAATTATGTTACGAAAATTCTAAGATCACTATATTGAATATGGTTCATACATAAACCATATTGCCTTCAATTGATCAACCCAAACACAAGAAATAAGTCCGGTGCATAACAAAATGTAGCCTGCATTTTGTTGCTGGTTGCAAACTAATTATTGGCACCAACTGCATGCATTAGTAAAACCTGAATGACTTGGAAGTGTCAGCCACAGTACATATACAACATATCAAAAATGATAATCACTGCAATCGCACAGTAGTCTAAACAGGAGAACACAACCGTGAACAAGCTTCATACCGTATTTCATTTTATTGGTAGACATACAATTTACAAAATGTAATGCTATAGAATATTTTCATTATTTTCTGTCTGCTTCAATAAACATTCCTCTTATTTACAGAGATTACTAGCACAGTCAGGTGACCATGCTGTTAAAATCTACTTGCTTTTTGTCAATCAGAATGGCTTATTTCAGTGTTACTTGTGTCCTATTTCAGAGTAAACTTGTTTTTTCATGCTATGGGAACAAAAGTGTTGAACTTTGACTGCATCTATGAATAGTATACAATGTATCGAAAGTTCTACAACTATAATCCATCTGAAAATGGGTAAAATAGATAAAAATTGCAAGTGTAACTGTATTAGCAGGTCTCACTAAAAGCATTTGAGGGAATAGGTGTTTTTCCCTATTCACTGCAGGATCTTGAAAAGGCTTTTGTGCAAGCCACCCTACACCCCAAAAAAATTAATTAAAGATTTGGGTTGGACTTTATATGACGGGAAATCCCCTCACAGCCTGTAATTATCCTATCACAGTTTCAACGATGCATCTTGCAGTGGATTAACAGTTTGGCCTATAGGTCATGCTTTACATTTTTAACAGGGCTATAAATTTGTTTAAAAAATTATATTACAAGTTTTACTTTTACATTGACGTTGTTAAATTAAGAGTTTCTTTAAAACAAGTAATACATGTATACATTGTTTGCAAGACTGGATTGTGACAGGTACATAAAAAAAAAAAAATTCCTCAAGTTCCTGAGTTAAATTAAAAGACTATTTCCCTCCACTTGTATGGGTTAGTCAAGTATTAACAGTTGCCTACAATGCATCTACTGTTGTTTGTTGAAATGATAGCCATGTTGGCATGATGTTTCTGAAAGTGCAAATAAAAACAATACCACACTATGGTCCCGTGCATAATTTCAATTAATTATTTTCACATTGCCAGAACACATTCACCTTGGGCCCTGGGTGGTGTTAATCAATTTATTGAATGGTGTATTCTCTAGTCAAAGCATCAAAGAGCACTACATTCATTGGCATTTTTTACACACACAATATTTGTATACACATTAGTGTAACTACTTTACTTTACATCAAAACATTCCAATAGAAAATTTGACATTTTTGGTGAATATCCGCACTCTACAGTTAAAACCAATCAGACAATTTGGAGAGATCCAGATTTCCACCAGATAGAATTACACCAACATTCTTGATGCTTGCTGGAAGTGCTTTGAATTTATCTGAGAGTACAGCAGCCACAGCTGTACCAGATGACGGCTCTATGCATAGCTTGGTTCTCTCCCACATTAACTTTGTAGCAATCTGAAAAAGAAATTACGATTGCAAATGAGAAATTCTGCTGATCGATGGCCCCCTAAAGTAGTCTTTATGAACACGATTCCGTTTCAGATTAATATATAATTACTGTAAAACATTTGTTTGGAGCTAGCTCAACTGAATTAGGGGTTAACAGCTGACTGGCTAAACTAAACAATGATACGAGTAAACATTTTAATATCTGCATTTCGAGTGTACATTCAGAGGTACCGGTACTCGCATTTGGTGAAAATTGCTGTCGCTGACGCAAAACGATTACCTTTCAGTTCTTATAAATAACACAGAGCATCTAAGTTAAAATGTGCATTCAGTTTATTGTTCACTATTTGATGGTAACAACTTGTGTTGACCTGCCAGTCTTTTTCCACACACACCCCCTTTTTAAAGTAACAAGCCATGCACAGCCACATTAATTATCAAATTTAGAATATACAGTTTTGTTTATAGTAATATAGTGTCAGAGATATGGATCCAGAAGCTGATGCTTGATTATGATTTTTTAACATTCAGGCATCTTGTATCTGAGTGTCAATAGAGTACTTGTCCATATTGAGAGATACAATGTATATTGCTCTATAATATCATTAATTAAAACAAAATGGCCACTGGTCAGCCATCACAATCTCATAGTCAAACTGATGTATCTG